TTGGCATTCTCCGCTGTCAAGTGTTCATTGACAAAAATTCTATCCCCAATGCCATCCAATTTAATTCCCGGAGAAGCCGCCCCCCCATCCGAAGATCGTAACTGTGACGCGGCACGTCGCCTAAATTTTGCGGCGCTATTCTTCAAACATTCGCAAATTTTGGCTTGTTCGGGGTTTCTAATTGATCTAATTTCAACGGCATCGTATTCCTGGTGCCCTTTTACTTCAGATTCAATAAGAAAATTTTCCTAACCACTTTTTATATTTCTGGAAAATTGCTTTTCTTCAAACAATTGCAAAATTCGGCTCGTTCGGGGTTTCTAATCGATCTAATTTCAACGGCATCGTATTCCTAGTGGCCTTTTGCTTCAGATGCAAAAAGAAAATGTTCCTAACCATTTCCTATTTTCCGGAAAAACCGATTTTCTTCAAACATTCGCAAATTTTGGCCTGTTCGAGGTTTCTAATCGATTTCATTTCAACGGCATCGTATTCCTGGTCGCCTCTTGCTTCAGATTCGAAAATAAAATTTTTCTAACCATTTCTAACCCAATTGTTTGAAGAAAAACGATTTTCCAGGAATATAAGAAATGGTTCAGGAAAATTTTCTTTTCGAATCTGAAACAAGAGGAGACCATGAATACGATGCAGTTGAAATTAGATCGATTGAATACCCCGATCACGCATCTCTTTCAGTTTAAAATCTATGGCTGAAATCTATGGCCAACTTCACACGCGTTCTTAAATATGGAATGTGTAATAAATGTTTTTTTATAATTAAATTAAAATCAAATAAAAATAGAAATCTTTCGATAACTTTTTAATGTTAAAATCAAAATAAAACGATTTATTTCAATACTTATCGTTAGATTACAAAAATATTCAAACCTAACCTCACTTCTATTTTCATCCTAACCTCAATTCACAAATATTTTTATTAATTAAAATGAAAAAATCTCTCCATAACATACATAATCTTCTAAAAAAGAATTATTCGACCGATTTAAAATGGAAAAGTGTAGTTGGATTAGAAGTTCACGCTCAAATCTCATCGGAAAGTAAATTATTTTCAGGGGCCTCAAATGAATTTGCAAGCGCAGTCAACAAAAACGTATCACTATTTGATTGTTCCATTCCAGGAACTCTTCCCGTTTTAAACAAACGATGTGTTGAAGCCGGAGTTTTAACCGGAATAGCTTTAAATTGTAAAATAAATCCGGTAAGCTATTTTGACAGGAAACATTATTTTTATGCTGATTTACCTACGGGTTATCAAATAACCCAACAAAGAGCACCATTAGCAAATGATGGTTACATAGAATTTCATGTCTACACCCCTGGGGTTAATAAAAAACCATATGAAACAAAAGCCCGCATAAAACAATTACAATTAGAACAAGACAGTGGGAAGAGTTTACACGAAGATACAAAGAGTTTGGTTGATTTAAATCGAGCTGGTTGTCCTTTAATGGAAGTTGTTTTTGAGCCGGATTTAAAAGATGGCGAAGAAGCAGCTTCTTTAGTTAAAGAATTAATTACAATTTTACAACGAATCGATACTTGTTCATGTAAAATGGAAGAAGGAGCTTTAAGAGTTGACGCAAACGTTTCCGTTCATCTCCCAGGAGAGCCTTATGGCGTTCGAACAGAAATCAAAAACATTGGGTCAATTAGAGGAGTTGCAGGAGCTGTTAAATATGAAATTAATCGACAAATTAAGATTTTACAAGATGGTGGAAACATTATTAATGAAACTCGAGCTTGGGATGCAAATTCAAAAAGTACAGTAGCAATGCGAGACAAAGAACAACAACAAGATTATCGATACATGCCAGAACCAAATTTACCCCCTTTACACATTGCTTTAGGTCCAGTTGAACAAGGTTGTGTTAATGTCGATAAATTAAAAGAAAGTATTCCTGAATTACCCCAACAAACCAGAGAAAGATTACAAGAGACTTTTGGATTAACACTAGAACAAAGTGTTATTTTAGTAAATGAATCAAAACTCTTATATATTTTTGAGAGTGTTTTAGACCAAAGTATTAGCCCTAAATTGTTAACAAACTTACTGCTTAATGATTTACTCACAATTATAAACAAAGAAAAATTATCCTTGGATGAAATTAGCATTTCTTTGAGTCATCTAAAAGAAATTGTCGTTTTGTTATCAAACGGGGAAATAAATCGAAATACGTGTAAATTGCTTTTGGAGAGAGTCGTTCAAGGAGATTCAGATTCTCCAAAGAATATCGTCGAAAAAGAAGGGTGGAGTCAAATAAATGATTTAGAAGAAATTAAGGTGATTTGTAAAAGGATTTTGGATGAAAATCCTAAAATGGTTAAACAATATCATGATGGTAAAGCGAAAGTTTTTAAAGCTTTCTTGGGAATTGCTGATTTAAAAAGTAATCACCGGGTTAATATGAGTGTTGTTAATAATGTTATGAAGGAATTATTAAAAAAGTAGTGTTTTATTTAGTTGAAAATGTATAAAAGAATGTTCTAATAAATTCTTAGATTTGATAAAATATTGTCTGGTATCACCCTAATACTCCTGCAAACAAATGCACAACAGGTTATTGTGGAAACAAGGTTACCCATACAGTTTTGTATACACAATTTTATACAAATTTCAGTTGCTTGTGTTGTGTACGCATGGACATATGCCGTCTAACGAAGCAGCCTATAGCTATAGGCTCCTTTTTTTTTAAGTTTAGCTATAATAATTGCTGATGCGTCGAAAGATGGTATTAGAAAAAGAAAAAGGAAGCAGAGAGTATGGATGATAGTGGTTAAAGAAAAGATCACTTTTTAGCTACGCAAATCTTCTCAAAGAATTTAAGTTGAGTTCACCATTAAACTATAAAAATTATTTACACTTATTTAACACCACTTATACAGTGAATTTCACTTAAGATGCAAAATACTACTACAATATATTTCCATAGAAACCAGGGCGTAATTACTTATTTTATAGTGCGTCTCTTAAGACGGCTAAACCTGAATATTTCTAGTTCTAGATCTAATGTTAGTTCTAGCTACACTAGAAGGTAGCGCTAGTTAGCATAAGATATCACTACGTTGCATATTTTTATTGAATTAACACTAGAACTAGGAAGTATCGGGTTTTGCCGTGCGTCTTCAGAGTAGTTCTAGTTTTACACTAGCGTTATCACTAGAACTAATACAAGACTTAGAACTAGAATCATTTAGATTTAGTCGTTTTGAAAGACGCACCTCTAAACCCGAATGTTTGTAGGTCTAGTAGTATTAATTCTAGTTTTAATTGTTATTCAGCGTTATATTGTGGTACATTTTTATTGAACGAAAAGTAGAACTAACACTAGACCTAGAACCAAAACCATTCGGGTTTAGCTATGCGTCTCTTAAGACGGCTAAACCTGAATGTTTCTAGGTCTTGTGTTAGTTCTAGTGACAGTGCTAGGTATTGCTAGTTAACATTAGATATCATTGCGTTGTATAGTTGTAGTAGTTTCTAATGTTTCTAAGTCTAGTATTAATTCTAGTTTTGCACTAGCACTATCACTAGAGGCAACACAAGACCTAGAACTAGAATCATTCGGGTTTAGCCGTCTTGAGAGACGTTCGGCTAAATCCGAACGTTTCTAGATCTAGGTCTGGTATTAGTACCAGTTGTAATTGTTATTCTGCGTTAGATTGTGGTATATTTTTATTGAACGAAAAGTAGAACTAACACTATACTTAGAACTAATAACATTCAGGTATAGCCATACGTCTCTTAAGCTGGGTGTCCACTTGAGAGAAACTTCTGCGAGTAACTCTCGATATTTATTCCCATCTGTGTGTCCACTTGAGACTGTTTTAGCTCTCCGAGAACTTCTATAAAACTTCCGTGAGCTCAGAACAGTGTCCACTAGTAAAATGTGTCCGTGTTATGGATAGTAAACATGGAGGTAAAAAAAATTGCAAGTGAAATAGTGTTGTACAAAATTAAAAAAAAAAAACAAACAAAAAATAAAAAAAGCTGTTGGGTAAAACCATGGATTTGGCGTAGATTAGAGCTGGGTGTCAACAAATATCAACATTCGTTATCAAATTGATAATTAATAGTGGCTTGGCATAGTATTTTGGAAAATTATTAGAAAATATAAACTTAAACGCCTCAATTGCTGAAAGAGACTAGATATTACTGGTAGAAGACTAAGTATTACTAATAAAAGACTAGATGTTGCAAATGAAGCAGATTCTTCTTACAGAAGACTTCACTCTACTAGCAGAACTCGAAATACTGTTGGTAGAAGACTAGATATTGCTGGAAAAGATTAGATATTGCTGGCAGAACACTAAGTATTGCTAGTGAAAGACTAGATATTGCAAATGAAGCACATCCTTCTTACAGAAGACTACACACTACTACTAAAAAAAAAAATACTGCTAGCAGAAGACTTAATTTTACTGTCAGAAGACCAAATTATGTTGTCAGAAGACTAGATATTACCAATGGTACAAATCCCGTTTAAATTTCTGCCCAATACATTAAAAAATTGTTAAAATTGCATCCCTCGCTTCCTGATTTCTATGTTCTTTAAATTTGGTATTCCAAAGAACTGAATTTTCTTTATACACTTCAATTAATTCAAATATTCTCTTCTATTCTTGGGATGATTTTCTTTTAGGCGTCATCTTTAAATGTGTGATATTGAGAAAATTCGTCGCTACTCGCAGCAAAATTCGAACTGTGTTCGTTTTTTGACAATTACTCTCACGATAAATAAACTGTGTGTCTCCACTTAAGCACAAGTCTCAACCTGTTCACTCTCCGAAAGTTGGCGGCGACTCTCTGATAGTTACTCTCATATGCGTGTCGACCAGAAAAAATACTCTCAAGAGCATTTCTCGCAAGTGGACACCTAACTTAAAGACGGCCGAAATCTCAGGGTTGTCATAAGGACGTCACCTTTTTCCAAACTACCCAATGCCAGTACTATTAAAGCTATGTTGCATTTTATGTGGGACAGTGCAAGTGCACAGTAGTTTTGTAACTATGGTTAATTGTATTAATATATTGCGAGTTATAGTTATATCAAATTCTCGGTACAAAAACAAGACACAACATAGAGAGAAGCAATATCACCACCTTCTACTAACACACATGAAAAGAAACTGTCGTTATTACACGATGTGTCGCACAAATCCCATAGACAATGCAATTGGTTGCGCAACTAATTTCAAACAATTTTCAATTTCTGCAACCAGTTGCGCAACGCATTAACCAACACCATACACTAACAATTTTCGCAAAACAACGAAATGTTGCGCATAAAATTTTCTATAACATTATAAGTAAGGTTATGTACATCTTAATTGAATTATTAACCTAAGAAGGATAACTATACAGGGTGTATCAGGTATGAGTACAAAAAATTTGAGGGGTTATAGGTCTTCTCATTCTTTCCCATTCTTAAGATGTAATATGATAAAGTTAAGGGTTTGAAAGTTTAAGTACTACTGCTGATTGCGTATTCAGTCATTTCCAACAATTCATTCGCTAATTTCAATTTCGTGATGCTGATGATTATCAGACGAAAGAAATTTGTCACAACATGCTTTTGATTTCAGTAAATTCATTCTGATTGCCTTTAGAAAGTAGATCAGCTTCTTAAAATAGTGCTGATTTATCAGCATCGCATATCTGTTTAGGTAATAGCTTAAACTCGTTCATTTTTTCCGTAATTTTTTTCAGAAAAGTAATTAACTTTTAATCTCTGAATGCCATGCCTTTATTTTATCATTATGTTTGATATAAATCTGCATAGCCTTTTCCCTTAAAACAGTGGTGGTTAAGTTCTTTCTGTGTGATAGAAACTATTTATAAGCTTCTGTTTCCATTACAGCCTAATCTGAATTGCACAGATTTTTTTTACGATTTGGTGTCGAAATACAAATATCAAAAGGGGTTTTCATTAAGAGCGACGCATTTTGTTTTTAACATTCCTCGAATAAGAGTTGGCTTCGCAATTCTTTCACATTTTGAAACGAAAATCTTTGCCATTTAATCATGGAGAGATACACGCTTCAACAAAGTTTGCAAATTATTCAACTTTTTTTATCAAAGTTCACGTTCTATCGCGACTATGTTGCGTGCACTTACGCCAATTTTCGGTCGACGAAACCGTCCAACAAGATGGATTATTTGTGCAAAAATTCGAATCGACTTATGTATTGCATAATGGCCCAACGCCTGTACGACGACGTAATGCTCGAAGTGAAGAAAATATCGTTGACGTTCAAGAGTGTGCGTGAGTAGTCAAGGATGTCGATTCCACGCCGATCGCAGGCGTTGAAAATCAGTGTGACAAGTTTGTGGCGAATTTTGCGGAAGGATTTGGCTCTCCGCCCGTAAAAGTTTGCGTTGACTCAAGAACTGAAGCCAACCGATTATTTTAAGCGTCGCAAATTCGACTTTTACAAGAAAATCATCGTTTTGGATGAAGCTCACTTCTGGCTGGATGGTTTTGGCAGCAAACAAAATTGCATTTGCAGGAAGGAGCAGCCTGAAGTGATGCCAGTTTTCATGCCGGCGGCGTCATCAGCCCATTTTTCTTTTTTGATAAAACGGTGTACTAACAGAGCGCTACAGGGCCATAATATATAAGTATATTTTGGACCAGCTCGACGCTATGAACTTGGAGATATGTGGTTCCAACAGGACGGCGTAACGTGCCATACAGCGTACGACACAATCGAATTATTAAAGACCAAGTTCGGAGAGTGAGTGTTTTATACGCTCGTTTAGTCGTCATTATACATAGATTAAACAGTTCCAGTGATTCACCAGCGTACGTTAAGAACAAACGATCGATTGTATGGTTGCGATTTGGGTTAGAAGATATCCAATGTGAAAGGCAATGTTGCAATTTTGTTTGGATGACTGGGGAATTCGAATTATTGAGGAATCGAATTAGCGAGTCCCCACAGTATGTTTATGAAAACTGTGCTTTCTGTGGCGAGGGTAAAACATCTATCTTCTTTTTTATGTGCCGTCTTTTTTCAGAAGGTTGGTTATTATTATGGCAATTTTTTACATTTGATGTTGCAGCTTTAACCAATTCTACCAAACTACTGTTGTACCAGCAGTTATTCATCCAAGATATGCATATTCTTCCTATACATCTTCTGCCACATATCTTCTCTTGAATAATATATTATTCAAAACTAGTTGATTTCTTCTAATGTTGTTATCTTTATTCTCTGGCGATTTCCAAGTATAATGTCGTCTTTTGTGTAACTTCTAAAAGGTGCTTGCTATTGCCATATCTCGTTTTTGGAAAAACTGAGTCAGCCTATCTCCTCTGTTATTCCTTAATCCCAATCCACAATTCAAAATGTCTTCCACTTATTCCCACATCTTTGCATTAAAGTAGTCCATAATAATCATGATATCTCGACTTTTCACTATATCTAGGGCCTTTTGGATGGTATCATAAAATTTCTCTATTTGTTCTTCCGTCTTATCCCCCATTGGGGCATACACCTGAACCACATTAAGTATCCCCCATGCTGACTTTATCTCAATCATAATGGCTCTATCTGAGACAAAGTTGATTATGAATGTTTTAAGCTCTTATAAGCATGGTTAATTTCCATTAACTTAAGTAATCACATCATTGTAGCTTATTCTGAAGTGTCCCAAAATGTTGTGTACCTCTAAAGAAGTGTTTTCAGGGAATTCTTATGATTATACTCTAAAAACAGGGAGAAAAAATAACCGTAAATAAATGTATTTTGAGTTTAAAGTAAAGATTAATAAAAAAAATACAGATTTATTCTTCTTTATAATCAATGTTCTCATAAATTTTATATACAAAAGATATCCCATTTTCTTCTTGAACCTCTTCAGGAACACAATCATCTCTATGAGAAAATAAAATAATTCATAAACCAGAATACAAATAATAATTAAGCACTTACTTTACTTCCTTTAAATTACCATTCAACTTTGGAAAATAAGTATCACAGTCATACTGCTTTTTAATTTCTGTTAAATACAATCTATAAAAATATTTGTTGGCCATAGAAGCCTAAAAATTAAAAACAATTTGCCCAATTTCTTTTTTGTTTTATAAGCTAATAAATTTACTTTATAAATTAAACTACCACCAATAACCCAAACATTATCATAAATCTTCTGATAATCCTTGTTATTTAACTTATCAATAGCTTCATCTAAACTCTTAAATGCAAAACAATCTTTATATCCATCAAGATAAACATTAGATCTGGATAAAATAAAATTAATCCTGTTATTTAATGGTTTGTATTTAGGTGGAATACTATCCCAAGTTTTTCGACCCATGATAACAACATTTTTCTTATTATTTTTACTTTCGGAGGTCATTCGTGTAAAATAAGCCATTTCCGATCTAAAGATTATTTCAACATTATCTTTATTGTTAGGTTAACTCACTTAACACTTGCAGACTTACTTTAATCTCCATGGTAAATCATTATTTTTTCCAATACCCATGTTTTCACATACTGCAGCTATAAGATTTAATTTTAGCGACATTTTTTGGCTGGTTGAAACTTTAAAAAAGAAATGTTATGAAATAGTATGCATTGAACAGACACATTTAATAGAAATGTGCTCTTTTATAGTAAAAACGCGGGAGAAGAATTTATTGAGATGGTAGATGACCTAATATGCACTAAGTATTTGAAGTAAATATCAAAATTTTATGATAATCTAATGACTTTAAAGAAATAACTTTTAGAAATAATCTTTATTAATTAATACTTATCCCAGTTATTAAAATTTCTTCCTTTTTAACTTTTTATTTTAATAAATTAAATTTAATTAGATTGGTATACAAGTGGGTATGCAACTCAAATGACGGAAAGATTATTTCTCATTTTTAAACACTGTAATATTGGTAATAGCTTTTAAAGTTGCACATTTAGAATCCGCTATATTTATATGGAGTTTTGAAGTTATACAGTGTCTTAATGTTCCGTGGACAATAACTATCAGGTATATTTAAAGAGAAGCAGATAATGTAAAGAAAAGAATTAATGTTGCAAGGAATACAACAAGGAGAACAGAATATGAAAAAGGAGGTCTTAAAATGATTGATGAATAAACTACAACAAATACGAGAAATGTCGAACATCAAGTTACTATACAACTCATCCATACTTATCACAATGATCATGCTCTTCCTATTATGTTTTTGTAAATTCTTTCTTTAATTTCCTTTCTTTAATCGAAGAGCTGAATACCTGTATTATAACAGAATATTGTTTACTGATGAATCCTGTTTTACAAGGAACGCCTTAATGATAGCAGTGATGTAATATTTTTGCATAAAAATTTACAAGAATTGTTAGACACAACGATGGTTCGGAATAGGAACAGATGGGCCAATTCATCGTCTCCCCCGATCACCAGATCTAAATTTTACTTAAATATATACAATTTTTTCATTTAGCGTACTTTGAAACCCAACATCTTTGTGGTAGTGGGCTTCTAGAACAATGCCTATTTTTCATTTCTTGCAGAGAATGTGTATAACATTTTTAGCATTATGTTANTGATTTTTTCATTTAGCGTAGTTTGAAACTCAACATCTTAGTCGGAAGCTTCTAGAAGCTTTTTTCATTTCTTGCAGAGAATGTGTATAACATTTTTAGCATTATGTTATGCCACCAGCTCGTTCGATGAAAATATTGCTACCATAGTTGAAAGTGTCCATCAACATCCAAACTGACAACGTTAACAAGAACATCAGCGATAGGGCTGTCTGAGGAATTTTACACTAAGACCTCGGTATGAAGTCTTACAAACTCAAATTGGTTTAAAAATTAAAGGCAGTTGATCATCTATCGCGTTTTCGCTTCTCTGAATGAGCCAATTATCAATTGGAAGAAGATCTTTATCAAAAACAAACATCTTTTCTGACGAAACGAATATTCACCCCGGAACAAGTAAAATTTCAACATTGGATCATATTCATAGTCACCCAAAACGAGTGACTGGTGGAAATCTAAATGCAGAAAATAATTGTCCAACGAAAATATTTGAATGATAGATGAATTTTTAGGAATTTAACGAAGCGCGCTTGCAAATAGAGCTCTTAAGACGAATGGTCACAGCGTAATAGTTGTCCCAAAATTTTTGATACTCCTTTAGCTCAATCGCAAACCACAACAGAATCGCACAACGGGAGGGTTTCGATGCTATCACCACACCAGGATATTTTGCGAGTGGTGATTTATACTAAATGTTCATGTCTTCGTCGTTATAACGCCTAACAATTTTCAAAAAGAAAAATAATATAGATAACAACGAAAATCTTGATCCTTAAATTAGTGCATTGTAAGATTTTATACTTATGACACCGATGCATTGTTATAAAATTTTAAACAAACATTGTGAACTGCTATACGAATCTTCTGTAGCTAGGAGTTGTAAAGCAAGAGCTAAATCTTCTCTCCAGACTCTTCGATTGTAGACTAGATTTTGCGTAATAATACTACGCTTCTTGATCACACCTTTTTTGACTTTCCTTTTTGCACAAAGAAGAAAGCAGCGGAAACTACGACAACAATTTGCGCGTCAGTTTTGTCAATACAATTCAATGCTTTTTTGAAATTAGTTATCAGTATAAATGTAAATCTACAGAAAGCCACAATATAGGAGGTTTTTACTAGCAAAGCACGAAAAGAGTTATTTGCGGGTTGTAATGGTAAATACAAGCTTGTCAAGGTTGTGCATTTCAATGTGAGATCATTGCTTCCAAAAGTTGCAGTTGTGAAGGATCTACTTCTGATCAATAATATAGATATCTTGGCTCTGTCGGAAACTTGGTTATATAATGAGATTGCAGATTCTGCAATTAATATAAATGGTTTTCATTGTTTCTGTGGGGATAGTGAAACTAGGGGTGGGGGAGTCTGTTTTTATATTAGGAGTGACCTCCAATATGTAGTAATGGATACGTCGTTTAATATTAAGCAACTTTGGATAAAAGTTTGTTGCGGTGATGTAGATATTTTTGTTGGTTGCTTGTATAAACCGCCTAACTTGAGTTACGTAAATTTTCTCAATGAATTTGAAAATTCTATTACAAATTTGTTGTGGCGATTTCAATATTAACTTATTAAATTTCGAAAAAAGTGATACCACTGAATTGTCTCTGATGGATTCATTGGGCGGAACCCAGCTCATTGATGCACCTACAGGGACGGCGAGGAACCGCATATCATTAATAGACCTAATTATTACTTTTGACAAGTCTTTAATTCTGAGTAGTGGAGATATTGGCTGTGACGTTTCCGATCATGACATGATGTACTGTGTGATGAGTGTGAATGTTCCTGAGAGTGTTCCACTTTATAGAAATATGCGCTTGTTGAGTCGCATTAGTCACGAACAATTTTTACTAGATCTGCAGTCCATAGCATTTAATTTTATGTTTTATATGGATGATATTTATCGGAGACTTGAGTTTTTAAATGATAACATGATTGCCTTACATGGTTGCGTACTAAACCACGCAGTCCTTGGTTGACAGATAATATAAAGCTCTTGATGAATTTGAAGGATCGCGCAAAAATGAAGTTCAGGAGGACTCGCAGGCGGGGATGATTGAGATTACTATAAATCTCTGCGTAACTACACCACTGCAGCTGTGAGGAACGAAAAACGTGCTTATTTTGATTATTTAGTTAGAGGACTTGGGGTCTTTGGGGTTATGACGGATGGCAGGGCGTTGTCCTTACCATCGCATTTTCGGATAATACATGTCAATATCAATTTGTATTTAAAAATGTAAGTGAGGCAGAGGTGCGGTCTAATCNTTATTAATTAGTTTGTAATTAGCGTTAACTGATTATTAATTAGTTTTTCCGACTTATATATAGTTACCGATTTTTTGATCTCGTCACTTCGAACCAGTTTCTGAAGAAGGTTGTAACATGGCATCCGAAACGTCAAACCTTTTATTAAAAGACGCACGGCAAAACCCGAAAGTTTCTAGTGTTAGTTCTAATCTTAGTTTAAGAGTTAATTACCAGTTGGAAGAAGATCTCATCTTTATCAAAAACAAACATCTTTTCTGACGAAACATTCCCTAAATCCAAGATGCCATGATATATTTTTCTTTCGTCAAACAAAAAGATTTAGTGACCTTGTTTTTTAAAATATATCTTGGCAACAAAAATATGTTATTATATAAAATTATTCATTCCTTTCAATAAACTTATTGATGCCACACGTACATTAAAAATGCTTGGCTAATTTAAATTTTATTAATTATGTTGGGAAAATAAAAGCTATTAACAATCTCACAATATATAATCTATGCATGACAATTAATTAGTCAATGCACCCAAAACGAGTGACTAGTGGAAATCTAAATAAAGGAAATAATTATTGTCCAACGAAAATACTTGAACGTGATTTTAATAATCTAGATGTAGATAAATTTTTAGAAATTTAAAGAAGCGCGATTGCAAATAGTGCTCTTAAGGCGAATGGACACAGCGTAATAGTTCTCCCAACATTTCTGATACTCCTTTAACTCAAACGTAAGCCACAAGATATTTGCACATCAGGAGGGTTTCGATGCTATCGCCACACAACTCCTTGATCATACCTTTTCAGATCATCAGAATGAGTCCAAGATATTTTGCGAGTAGTGACTCATATTAAAAGTTCATGTTTTCGACGTTATAACGTCTAACAACTTTCAAAAAGAAAAATAATAATATAATAATAACAACGAAAATTTTATACTTATGACACCGATGCATTGTTATAAAATTTTGAACAAACATTGAATCTTCTGTAGCTATGAGTCGTAAAGTAAAAGCTAAATGATCTTGTATCGACTTTTCGATTGTAGACTAGATTTTGGGTGACAAAACTAAACTTCTTGATCACACCTTTTTTGTCTTTCTTTTTTGCAGAAGGATCGGCAACTACGACAACAACATTTCCGCGTCAGTTTCGTCAATTCAATTAAATTTTCATTCGATTTTCCCGTTTTAAAATGTATGTAAGTCAATTTCGAAAAAGGAAATTAGTTATCAGCACAAATGTAAATCTACAGAAAGCCACAATATAGGAGGTTTTTACTAGCAAAGCACGAAAAGAGTTATTTGCGGGTTGTAATGGTAAATACAAGCTTGTCAAGGTTGTGCATTTGAATGTGAGATCGTTGCTTCCGAAAGTTGCAGTTGTGAAAGATCTAATTTTGATCAATAATATAGATATCTTGGCTCTGTCGGAAACTTGGTTATATAATGAGATTGCAGATTCTGCAATTAATATAAATGGTTTTCATTGTTTCTGTGGGGATAGTGAAACTAGGGGTGGGGGAGTCTGTTTTTATATTAGGAGTGACCTCCAATATGTAGTAATGGATACGTCGTTTAATATTAAGCAACTTTGGATAAAAGTTTGTTGCGGTGGTGTAGATCTTTTTGTTGGTTGCGTGTATAAACCGCCTAACTTTAATTACGTAAATTTTCTCAATGAATTTGAAAATTCTATTACAAATTTGTTGTGGCGATTTCAATATTAACTTATTAAATTTCGAAAAAAGTGATACCACTGAATTGTCTCTGATGGATTCATTGGGCGGAACCCAGCTCATTGATGCACCTACAGGGACGGCGAGGAACCGCATATCATTAATAGACCTAATTATTACTTTTGACAAGTCTTTAATTCTGAGTAGTGGAGATATTGGCTGTGACGTTTCCGATCATGACATGATGTACTGTGTGATGAGTGTGAATGTTCCTGAGAGTGTTCCACTTTATAGAAATATGCGCTTGTTGAGTCGCATTAGTCACGAACAATTTTTACTAGATCTGCAGTCCATAGCATTTAATTTTATGTTTTATATGGATGATATTTATCGGAGACTTGAGTTTTTAAATGATAACATGATTGCCTTACATGGTTGCGTACTAAACCACGCAGTCCTTGGTTGACAGATAATATAAAGCTCTTGATGAATTTGAAGGATCGCGCAAAAATGAAGTTCAGGAGGACTCGCAGGCGGGGATGATTGAGATTACTATAAATCTCTGCGTAACTACACCACTGCAGCTGTGAGGAACGAAAAACGTGCTTATTTTGATTATTTAGTTAGAGGACTTGGGGTCTTTGGGGTTATGACGGATGGCAGGGCGTTGTCCTTACCATCGCATTTTCGGATAATACATGTCAATATCAATTTGTATTTAAAAATGTAAGTGAGGCAGAGGTGCGGTCTAATCTGGCTTCTATCACATCCGCTTCAGTTGGGTGTGATGGTATTTCCATAGGACTGATACGTCTCTGCTGTCCGTTGATTTTGCCGTATCTGCCTCATTTTCTCAATTGTTGTCGTTCGGAGAGTAAATTTCCTACGCTTTGGAAGCAAGGGATAGTTATTTCTTTGGCAAAGGTTGATGATTCCAAGCAATTGAAATTTCTTAGAGCAATAAGTATCCTTCCAGCGTTATCTAGGGCGCTTGAAAAAATTATGAAGCAGCAGTTGGTGAGTTACGTGGAGAGTAATAGCTTGTTGCCTCAGGAGCAGTCTGGCTTTCGAAGTGGCTATAGTTGTACAACTGCAATGTTGCGCCTAATTATTCTTACGAACACGGACACTGGATTGTACACTGCTGAGGTCTTCCTGGATTTTTCTAAAGCGTTTGATACCGTTAATTACGTGGTTTGGGTGAGATTCTGTATGATTTGTGACTGAGTTCAGATGCGGTATCTTTGTTGGGTGACTACCTCTGTGATAGGTCTCAAAGGGTAAGGATCCGTGATGATTTGTCTGACACAGTTAGAGTTTTGAATGGTGTATTACAGGGTTCGGTGTTGGGGCCTCTCTTGTTCTCTTTGTACACTTCGCAGTTTAGTAGACGGGTGCAATATTGTAAAGTCAATATGTATGCTGATGATATACAGTGTTATTTGTCCTTTCATGAAAATGATATGAATCTAGCACAGATGCGTATTAATGAGGACCTGTCTACTGTATTTAATATTGCAACGTTTCATATACTAAAGATTAATCCTGATAAGTCTGCGTGTGTATGTTTCGGGAGAGGGAGGGGGGTAACAGGGCTGAACTTGGATCTTGATATTAATATAAATGGTTCAAGAATTAATGTTGTTAAGGAAGCAAAATGCCTTGGTTTAACAATAGATAACACCTTCCGATTTAAAACTCAAATTAATATTTACATGAGAAGGTCATATTCAAGTTTAAGAAAACTTTATTCTCACCGATCCGTCCTTTCGATAAAATTAAAAAAACAGTTATGTGATTTTCTTGTGCTGTCTCACTTCAACTTTATGGCGCCTGTGTATCATCCAGCTATAGATATGCTTACATCGCATACAAAAAATTCAAAATAGTTGCCTTAGGTTCATTTTTGGAAGTATAACAGAATCTCACACAAACCTAAAGATGTTGGGTGACACAGAATGGATACCCGCCGAGAGTTGCACTGTTTGGTTTTGTTTCATAAAATCGTCACAACACATATATCGACATACTTGTATGAGAAAGTATAAAGATAAATTTCTGGAGCAATGTGCAGCCTTGTCATAGTTAATCATATACATTTTTTTTAACGTTCAGAGCAAAAGGGGGAGGAATATTCGAGAAATTGTATTGTCGTTGTGGTAGGACGCGTGTAGTAAAATTAATATTAAGTTTATGTTTGTGCTAAAGTTGGTTGAACAGACTTTACCTAGAGCCCGCCTATTGCACAATGCCATTTTTTTCTTTTCGTTTTTTTGTATTGTTGGTACTGTTTTTTTTTGATTTATTGTTGTTTAAACATCTTAGTTTAGAGTCTATCTACAGTATAGATACAATTTTTGTTATTATTATATATTTTTTTCTTTTGTTGTATTCTATGGTATGTGCAATAAAGACATTTATTATTATTATTATGTGTTGCAGGATTCAGATATCTCAATACACTTCTTTCGGTGTCACAACCCCTGACGAGTTTTAGCCTGTTCAGTGATATTCTCCCATTTTGTCCTCTCACCATAAAACCATCTCCAACTCCTGTCCATCTTTTTCTCGGTCTAATAAGGCTATTATATGTAGCTACTTTTATGTTTATGATCAACATTCTAGATTTGAGCAATTTCTCATAAACGTTACAGCACCTGTTAGCCTCTGCCACACGGGATCTTATTTCATGACTGCATGAGCTATTCTGTGTAATCTGTGAACCTAGATAGGAGTACTTACACTCTTTCAAACGTGTAACCACCGACTGAAGGTCTGAAGTGTTGTTGCTTGTTGTGTTCGTTGTTGTGTCATGTATTTAGCCTTGTCTTCATTTATTTCTAGCCCTTTGCTCTGCACTTCGCTGGCAAATATTCTCGTCCAGTTTTCTTTCAATCTTCTCACACTTGTATTGATATGCCTCTGTCATTGGTATAGACGCTTACTACTTGCAATACATCCAGATTAAATAGTGTATCCGACAACGCATCACCCTGTCGGAATCCATTATCAATGCTAAATTTAGATGATAACTCTCCGCCAACTCTTACTACACCCGTGGGACTGGCTAAGGTTGTTTCTATTAATCTAACATATTTCCATCACTTCCCGGTGCTTTGTGATTTTGTAGGTACTCCTCCTTTACTTTTCCAATCTCAACTCTCGNCTACGACAACAACATTTCCGCGTCAGTTTCGTCAATTCAATTAAATTTTCATTCGATTTTCCCGTTTTAAAATGTATGTAAGTCAATTTCGAAAAAGGAAATTAGTTATCAGCACAAATGTAAATCTACAGAAAGCCACAATATAGGAGGTTTTTAGTTGCAAAGTAATGTCAACACTATCTTTTAATTTCTTCTTTTTCTTCCGGTGTTACAACCCCTGACGGGGTTTAGCCTGTTCAATGATCTTCTTCCATTTTGTCCTCTCACCACAAAATAACAAATCTCCATCGCCTAACTCCCATTCATCTCAAATGTTTCTCTAAATCATCCATACATCTTTTTCTCGGTCTAATAAGGATATTATATGTATGTAGTTACTTTAATATTTATGATCAACATTCATAGATTTGAGCAGCTTCTCATAAACGTTGTAGCATCTGTTACCCTTTGCCACATGGGATCTTATTTCATGACTAAATGAGCTAAATTATTCTATGTAATCTGTGAACCTAGATACTCCTAGATACTACTTATACTCCTTCAACTGGCAATGAAGTGGCAGATGAGCTAGCACGAGAGGACAGCAAAAATGTTATAGACCATTGTGTTTGCTACAACTTTTGTAGCAAAAGTTTTTCTGTATTACACTCCGTATACCGATATTTTTTAACACTTTTCTATATTTCATATTTTTGAAAAATTCTCCACATTAATGCATCTGGGAGCAAACATGCTAAAACGTTTGTGGGGCCAGAGCCAGCAGTTGGTGTATCATTTGCATTGGCCAAACATAGGATTGGATTTTGGGTTGAAGAGTGGTCCTAATGTGGACCAGTTCTCCAGTGTTGTTGCTTGCTGTATTTGTTGTGGTGTTATGTCGTTTATTCCTAACCCTTTGCTCTGTATTTCGCTGGCTAATATTCTCGGCCAGTTTTCTTTCAATCCTCTCACACTTCTACTGATATGCCTATGCCATTGGCATAGACGCATACTTACAATATATCCAGATTAAGTAGTAGCAGTACAGCCGTGGGACTGGCTAAGGTTGTTTCTATTAATCTGACATATTTCTATCAATTCCCGGTGCTTTGTGATTTTGTGGGAATCCGCTATAAGACACATAGGGCTTCCTGTTTCGGCTCTCCATTCAGAGAACTCTCAAAATACTCCCTCAAAAGTCGAGCAGCTTCTAATTTAATTTTGTTTGGTACTCCTCCTTTACTTTTCCAATCTCAACTCTCGTATTTAGTCTTTATACGATATTCTCAAGAAGGTGCCACTGCAAGAACTATAATTTCTCGTATTTATAAAATATTACGAATACAAAATATAGATAGTCTTGTTGAGAGCATATTTTACAGCGCAAAATACTTTACGCAAATACACAGCACATAGTGTCAATAATGAAACTGCAATTTCTGTGTAACTAAAAGATCCTAAAAAGATAGCATCCAAAGAGAAATATATGGAGGCTAAAAAATGATACTCAAAAAACACATATGGTAGAAATTAACCGAATGGCCTACACTCAATAGAAGTCAGAACACTGAAGAATTTTTAGCAATATGCCCAACAGTTTGAAAAGATTTTTGAACATATTCACCTTAGAGATAAATGTTAAACTTTTTAATATTAAAAAAACTTATTTAATAGGACATAAATCTTATTGCGTATAAAAAGAAAATAAATTAAATTATAAAGCTTTCAGGCATTATCAAATTATAAATCCATTTAATCAAGTTGTGTATGTAAAGTTTACAACCACATCAAGTGCAACCTGATGGTATTCAGTATCGATTGACCCCTTCACCGATGCCCCTTTTCAACGCCAAGATCAATAGAGACCGGCAGTAAGCGCGTGTAGGTGACAGAGATGCTCTGATTTCAACCTTTTTATGGGTTTACCGAACAGGATACCGGTAAGTTTGTTGGAAAACATTAAAAAACTCGTCAACAGATACAATTATTATCATTTTTTAAACTCGTTTTAAGGACGGTTAACTTAGATTAAATTACCTGTGACATTTTATGCACAAACAATGCAACTATAACGACTTACATTCAACACACTCAACTTGTTATTCTAAAAGAAAAAAATGAGTATTGAAATTTACAACGAATTTTAATTTATGAATACTAAGGAAAAAATGTGTGAAGAATCGGCTTGTTTGGTACCCAGTCTGGAAAACCCTCAAAATGGATCTTCTTCTGGGTTTAGAGGTAAGTTATTTTATTTTTATTAAAAATTTTTTTGATTGATTTTGTTATTTAAGTGGTGACTAATAGGGGAAGTTCTGGAACGACAAGTAATGGTGGAGATGCTTTGGTTGGTTTTCATGAAGATGCAATATCGCAAGCTGCAGCTGGAAAAGCTCAGTTATTGCTGTGTATTGCTTTGGGATTTGCTGTTATTGCTGATGCTTCGGAATTATCACTCTTGGGGTATATATTACCTGCGGCTGAGTTACAATTATGTCTGGATGATCATCGAAGAGAATGGTTGGGTAAGAGTACATTGACATTAACATGTTTATCTGTATTTAGGTAAATTTTGATTTAAACAATTGAACACCTAAATACTTTTAAAGTATTTGTAACCATAGCTAAAATGTGGAAAAGAAACGTAATAACAATTTTCAAGTGTTTCTTAGAGAATTTCAGTATGTGCTAAAAGTAGACTTACTACATAGTTTCTGCTAATTAAGAAATTGTTTTTGTATCAAATTGAAAAACAGATTTCAGTGTTTAATTGGATGTACAAATCGTTTTCTAGTTCTAATAAAAAGATCTTGGTGGATTTTTAAAATTTGGTTTCAATTTTAACATCTGTTCCTAAACTTGAAAGTTAGCACTCTTAATCGCTTTTTCAAAAATGCTTCTTTATGTATCTGTTTCACATCTCGACGCTTTAGCTTTAGTCTTACTTCTGCCACGACTAAATTTACACAACTTAAAATTTATGATCTCATTGCGAGATAAGGCGAAAGCGAACGTTAAGAAGAATCCGTCTTCCGCTAGATGGGACTATTATAAGTCTCTGCGGAACTTAACGGCATTTACTGTGAAGGCAGAGAAAAGAGCTTATTTTCTTCATATTGGTAATATGCGTGACAGAAGACAATTGTGGTTTAAACTAGGGTCACTTAGTTTGAAAAAGAAGTCAGTATCTGGTATCCCTGATGCTTTAAAAAATGTTAATGAACTGAATGATTACTTTCTTAAGAGTATCTCTGATATTCTTGATTCAATGCCTCTTGATCAATCGGTTTTGGATTTTTATACTAGTTTGCCTAATAATGGAGGTGTTTTTGAATTTTCTACTGTTTGTCCTACTTTGGTCGAGAAACTTGTGTATGATTTAAGGTCATGTTCTGAGGGTAGTGATGGTATTAGCGCCGATATGATTAAGCTTGCCTGTCCAGTCATTTTACCTTATTTCACACATATATTAAATGTCTGTATTGCAGAGGGGAGGTTTCCGGACATTTGGAAGCATGCTCTAATTAAACCTATTCCTAAAAATCAAAATCCTACCAGTTTTAGTCATCTGAGACCTATTAGTTTATTGCCAGCTTTTTCAAAGATTCTGGAGAAGATACTAAAACAGCAACTTGTGGAATATCTTCATGAATTTAATTTACTTCCGGAATTTCAATCAGGTTTTAGAATGAGTTTTAGTACTACTACTTCAATGATGGCGCTTATGGATGAGCTGATTACTGCGATTGATCAGGGTAACGTTGCTATTCTCACTCTGCTAGACTTTAGTCGTGCATTTGATACTGTGAATTATACCATTCTTTTGTCGATTCTTTCGTCAATTGGCTTTGATTCGACTGCTCTAAACTTAATTAGTGCATATCTGAATGGTAGATCACAGTCGGTTGTTATTGATGGGGTGGCATCCGAGTGTCGTGAGGTTATCTCCGGGGTTCCACAGGGCTCTATTCTGGGACCGATTTTGTTCTCCATTTATACAGCTCATCTTTTTGATCGGATTCAACATGGTACACAGTATGTTTACGCGGATGATACGCAGTTGGTTCACTCCTTTCATCCCTCCCAATGGCGGGAGGCTATTCGTCGCAACAATACTGATCTCCATTGCGTTTATGAGGCATCGACTGCACACTGTCTGAGGATCAATCCTGATAAATCGGCGGTCATGATCTGTGGGAATACAAAATTCACTTCAAAAGTGGCTCGGCCCTTTGGTATTGTCATGAATGGTACGAAATTACCTCTAGTTGATAGTCATAAAAGTCTTGGTTTGGAAATTGATAGTTCTTTTAGATATTCTTCTCAGGTCAGTAAATATGTTAAAAACGCTTATTTCGCCCTCAGGCTACTTTTTCCGCATAGGTCTTACTTACCCATAGATGTCAAGCGGATGTTATGCGATGCTCTTGTTTTGTCTCAATTTAATTACATGGTTCCTGTATACCATCCAGCGTTAACTGCTTTTGATTCAAATAGAATCCAAAAAATTCAAAACTGCTGTTTACGTTTTATTTATGGCATACGAAAATATGATAAGATATCTCATAAGTTAGTTGACGCTGGATGGTTGTCGATGGGGAACAGAAGAGTGCTTCAGACATTGGTGGTTTATCATAAACTAATGTTGAGTAAGACTCCAAGTTATTTATATAGGAAGATTAATTTTAGAAGTAACGTTCATAATCGATTGACTAGGTTTATTTCCTTTATTTCTCCACCTGTCCATCGCACGGGTTTGTTTGAGAGATCTTTCTCATACCATGTTTACAAATCCTATAATCTTATTTCGATGGCTGATAGGAAGTTAAGTGTATCGACGTTCAGGTCTCGGTTATTTGAAAGATTATTCAGATGTCAGTGTGCTTCTCTGTTGCAAGGGGTCCCGATATCGAGTTGCGTTGCGCATGTCACGGAATCGAGTTTAGTTAATTAGTTTATTATTTACAACTAATTTAATATTTTTTTTTGTGTTTTGTGTTTGTTACGTCTTCAATTATTAATGTTTAATACCTCTTTTTGTTATCGAGGTCCAGATGGAAGAACAGGATTTTATTTTCCTGAATCTGCGCCTCGTGAATTGCTTGCCGCACTATGCTATAATAGCTCTCTGTGTTTAAATAGTTTTATTTTGTACCTTTTTTTTTCTTTCGAATCATTTATTGTTTTTATTTTTGGTTATATTATCTTGCTATATTATATTGTTTTATTTCTGTAATTGCTGTGTGGTTTGGCAATAAAGTCTATTATTATTATTATTATTATTACTAGAATTGTTTGTTCAGAAGAAACAAAATAAAAAAATTAATTTCACTGTAAAATAAAGTGACTTTAACGTCAACAACCTAATCTTGCGCAATCAGCAGGATATCTTGACCGACTAAATAAAAATTTTCGGATGTGTTTGTGCTTGTACCTGTTAGATTAAAACAAAGAATTCCGAACATCGACATTTCCGAGGAATTACGACGTTAGGATCGGATCACATTTTGTAGAATACTGATCATAGATTAAGAAACCACGAAGAAACAAAGAAGAAACCAAATGCAAGCACGAACGTAAGTAGTTCTAAGGATTTTATGTAAAATTATCAAAAATCCACCTTCTAATATTCTAACACATTCTGTAAACATGATTCATCCGTTTACAAGAGCGTATACCCCAGGTGGAAATCAATTCAACCCCAAACTTCGATGGAAAGATGATAACATTACTTCTTTTTATTGAGGCTTGGGAAGATTTATTACAACATTATGCAAATCTACTGATAATTCGATAATCGCTTTCCATATTAAGATAATTAAATCGAGACTAATTACTGCGACTCAATGTTTGAATACTTGCCAAGCATTATCTACATGGTGGGAAATCAAGAGCTGTTTAGAACTGAACTATTCCAATCAGAGACCAGGGGAGCTTATTTATGCCAGAAGATAATCAATTTAAACCAAGAATAATATTCTTCGTGGCCTTAACGATAATATCTGTCATCTCTATCTGGATGACATTGTAATATTTTCTACATCTCTTCAACATCATGAAAACTTACGGAGAATTTTCAATCGTCGCAAAGCAAGTGGTTAAGCAAGCTTTTCAATAATCAATAATCGATTCCGAATAAGCCAAAAAAATGTAAAAATCTTTTATACTAGATATGCCGATTTAAATAAATCTTTTGTGATTACAACCGATGCATCAAATTTTGCAATAGCTGCAATATTAAGCCAAGGAAAAATTGGATTTGACAAACCCATAACTTATGCTTCGCGAACTCTCTCAACAACCGAATGAAATGTTCTGCAATAATAAGCCAAGGAAAAATTGGATTTGACAAACCCATAGCTTATGCTTCGCGAACTCTCTCAACAACCGAATGAAATGTTCTGCAATACCAAAAAGCTGCATGCTTTGGTAGATGCTCTCATATAATTCTCAAGTTGTTGCCTTTGAGCCATTTCCTGAGATATCGAACGCCAGCTATTTCGCCATCCCAAGTGGTCTTGATTCGGGAGAGTTATTTACAAGCATGGGTTTCGGAAGTCTGTTGTCGATCATACGACTCACGTGGTGATCCCATTGCCTCTTCCGCTGTCTTTCCTATCTCACTATGTCTGGTACGTTGCATTGATCTCTAATATCCCGGTTTCTCACTTTGTCTATTCTTGTTTTTTCCACTATTAATCTCAATGTCTTCATCAGACCTACTCATAACATGCTCTTGGTTTCGTTTGTTTTTACTCTCACTTCTATTCCGTATGTCATTATCGGTCTTATATACATCTTACATGTATTCTTACGGATTTGACAAAACTGTAGCTTTTAAGCACCCTAATTAACGGTCACGAGTTTACATCTGACCGGATCTTTTACAGTAGTCATGGACTTGGTTTTATCAACGGAAATTGTCATTTTGAATTTACGGCTTACATAAAAGAAGTAATGTAGTTGTTGTTGTGGTTTGTCTTCTGTTCGTGTGATTATTGCTGCATCATCTGCATAACGCATCATGCTAACTCTATTGGTGGTCATCATGTACCTCATATTTCAAGATGTTTTTAAGATATTTCCGCCAGACGGACCTTACATAAGCTTTGGTATGACTACAGAACAATAACAATAATATAATGTTCTGTGGTATGACCAAGAAAGCAGATGAATGCAAAATTGTCAAACTCAATGGACTTTTCCTTTATCTGTTTGATTATGCATACTGCGTGGGTTTAAGATCGACCTTTTCTGATATCTTGTTGTTCTTCAATATTAGTTATCCCTCTACAATTCTCTGGACGCGTTTTTTGTCCTTTTTTAAATTGTTAAACTGTTATGCCATTTCTTTGGTACTTTTGAATTTCGACGATTTTTATAAATTTATTACTTTATTAACTCGTTGTTTATGTTATCAGTTCCATAAGAGTTTCTGTTCTTTAATTTTGAAGAACAGATTTTTTTTGAACAGATTTGATTGTATCGGTCACATATTCTCTGAAATCTGCTAGTTTTTCGGCTGAATAGGGTTCTTTAAAATATTTTTGCCAAGATTCTATTGACACGAGCTTGCTTTGAACAAACTCGTTTACTTTTTTTTCCATTTTCTAATTATTTTCCACATCTTCCTTTGCGCTTCATACGGGTCGTAAGCTTTTATTCTTGTATTTACTTAATTTTTGACACGCGTATACTCAATGCCCGTTTCGGGTGTTCACATATATTTTAAATAACTTTTCCATTTTAGTACAGCAAGATCTTTCATTACCTGAAAGAATGATGGTTTGGTGTAGTACGTTGTGTTTACGTTAACTTTCCTTTTTTCTATAGCTTCACTTGCCACTTCACGAATACACTTTATTCTACAAGATTATATCTGCTTCTACTTCCGAGTCACAATTTTTTTCAATATCACATAACTTAGATCTGAGTGTACTTTCAGAAAGAGATCGTGTGCTTTCAGTCACTAACGATTGTATTTTACAATGAACTTTGGAGATTTTTTCGTTAGCTGAGGTTGTTCTAGTAAAATCTTGCATAGTAGAAGATTATCTATAATTGATCGTAGATCCCTACTACATATTATGAAAAGTGTATTTGTATTGCTTTTTATATGGGAAATACATGTTGTTGATCCTGAATTAATTTTTAGCGCAGAAATCTATTAGGATTTCGCGTTTTAATTCAATGTTGACTCGTTCAACATTTGCTTTATATTTGGTATGACATCGTTACCGACGTTGCAAGAGTAGCTGGAAAATCTGAATAAAGTATAGAATGTACACTTTATATACTCCATAGCAGTTTATGTCTTAATTTTACTAATTATTACTACTATGGCAATTTGCTTTTTAAATTTATCAAAATCAGAAAAATAAATTCGAGAACGAAAAATCATCTAAAGAAGGGAGGTGTTAATCCTTCGATAATTTGCAATATTTAATTACTTTTCAGAGAATGTAAAACTGTATTCTTCGTGCGTTTGTTGTATATCTCGACTCTTGAGCTTTAGTCTTAGTTCTGTCACCAGTAGAATTGTGTGTTCAAAAGGAACAAAATACATTGTTCAGAATATAGTACCTATTTTAATATTGTATACATTGTAAACAGGTAATCTACTATATTTACAAAACTTTTGTGATTGTTTGAAAATATATTTTAATTGAAAACTTTCTATTTACTTGCAGTTTCGATTACTCACTTAGCGTTGGGAATTGGAGCTCTCTGTTGGGGATTTTTAGGCGATAAAGTAGGAAGAAAACGTGGTTTGATCAGCGCTTTAGCTGTTGGCGGTCTCTTTTCAACAGTGTCAACTGTAATGCCAACTTACGGAACTTTTATGACTGCAAGGTACTAATAATATATATAAGCTTTATCCTAACAAACGCTTTTAAAAACTTACCAGCTTTAATCATATTTCTTCGAATTAGCTGCATTTTTTAATTGCATTGAACAAAATGCTAATACCTAAATCTAAGAAACGAGCAAAAACTACTTTTTTTGTAGGTTTGGATCTGGTTTAGGAATAGCAGGCGTAATGCCTTTAGCGTTTAGTTATTTAGCTGAAACTTGTCCAAGAGCGACCAGAACCCGCTATATGAGTCTTTTATATTCTTTTTGGCCAGCTGGAGCCCTCCTAACCTCAGCTATCGCCCATTTAACGTTGCCCAGTAACGGGGCGGAAATCGTTTCCGACAATAAAGAACATTGGAGTTCATGGCATAAATTTTTACTTTTAAATATTTTACCAATAGTTATAGGATCAATTTTTATTTCAACTATGTCCGAATCTCCCAGATATCTTTTAGAAGCCGCTCGAGAAATGGAAGCACTCGAAGTTTACCAAAAATTACACAAAATGAATAAATCTCGAACTCAATATGGATTAACCGAATTGGAATTACCTGGGAGAAGTGCTTATCGAGAGAGACCGAATAATTCTTCAAGAAATGCTTTAAGAATTATGTATGATACGGTAAGTTAATATTATTTAAAAAAGTAATTTTAATTAAAATGACTTGTAATTGTAGTTAAAAGAAACTTTTCAAAGACTTTTATCACCGTCATATTTCGAGTCAACAGTAACTTTATTGCTTTGTCATTTTTTAATGTCGGTTTTATACATGGGTATATCAACGTATTCAACGTTAGTTATAAAAGATATAAACGATGCACAGTTTACCGAGCTTAAAAAGCACGTGATCAACGAAAACTATACCGGAACTGTTTTTAATAGTACCATAGAAAACGTCCAATATACGGGTACAGTGTTCAAGAATGTAACGTTCAGGCACATGGAATTCAGTCATGTCGAGTTTTTCGATTGTATTTTTGAAGGAGCTGAATTTTCCAATGTTAAATCGTCAATTACTTATTTTGAAAACTCTACAATTAAAGATTGCAGGTAAAATTTATTACCTATGTGAAGTTAACCCTCAATTTTTTTAGCCCTCTATTAGATAGGAATTTATAGTATTTTGATTATAACAAGAGAACCTCTCAACCGATTTTGATCAACTCTATGTCATTCGAAAATAACATAAAAAATGACCTTTTTTAGGTGATCATAACCAAGGACAGTAGAATCTAAGAGGACTACTACATCCTTTGTTCTTTTGTAATCCACTACAGTTAATGAGGAGCCTGCACACTACCTCACACCACGTGCCACGCCCAGTCAGCTAGCAAGTGGCGTGACATAGGTGCTGGCTCAGTCCTCTGAATATCAATGGTCATTTTTCCTTGGTACCGCAAGGAAGTTTGTTAGGACCTCTTCACTTTAATATTTATATCAATGATATATTATCACTAATTAAATATTCTCATTCTTTGATGTATGTTGATAATTTAAAAATTTTTACTCGCGTTTCTTCACCTTTTGATTGCCCAAGGCTACAGCGCGACATTGATGCGCTACGTCTTTATTGCAGATCAAATTTCTTGACACTGAACCCACAAAAATGTTATGTTATTTCTTTTACAAGGAAGGCAAGCATGATCAGATACGATTATAGACTGGATACTGGCTATAATCCGGGTCTGGGATAGTACTATACCCAGACTGACCCAGGTCAGGGACATAGGCGTCACATTTGATGTCAAACTAACGTTTGACGGCCACTTTTGATAGAGTTTTTGCTTGACTTTATTATGAGAGTTACGCAAAATTTTACAATATTATATGCTATAAGAATTGAGTTGTCTGGTTTCAATATCCCCGAAATCCATTTTTGGGCAAAAATGAGATATATACGCCATTTGTTAGAAAAAGTTGTTTTCTATAAAATACTCAATGATTTGTATTAAAAAACGCGCGAATCCCTTAAAAATTCAAATCAAATAGACAGCCTTTAGATATTAAAGAGAGCTACTTTCGATTTATTTTTAATACTTCNTTTACCGAGCTTAAAAAGCACGTGATCAACGAAAACTATACCGGAACTGTTTTTAATAGTACCATAGAAAACGTCCAATATACGGGTACAGTGTTCAAGAATGTAACGTTCAGGCACATGGAATTCAGTCATGTCGAGTTTTTCGATTGTATTTTTGAAGGAGCTGAATTTTCCAATGTTAAATCGTCAATTACTTATTTTGAAAACTCTACAATTAAAGATTGCAGGTAAAATTTATTACCTATATGAAGTTAACCCCCAATTTTTCTAACCCTCAATTAGATAGGAATTTATAGTATTTTGATTATAACAGGAGAACCTCTCAACCGATTTTGATCAACTCTATGTCATTCGAAAATAACATAAAAAATGACGTTTTTTAGATGATCATAACCAAGGACAGTAGAATCTAAAAGAACTACTACATCCTTTGTTCTTTTGTAATCCAGTACAGTTAACGAGGAGCCTGCACACTACCTCACACCACGTGCCATGCCCAGTCAACTGGCAAATGGTGTGACATAGGTGCTGGCTCAGTCCTCTGAATATCAATTCACTTTAATATTTATATCAATGATATATTTTCAATAATTAAACATTCTCATTGCATGATGTATGTTAGTAATTTAATAATTTTTACTCGAGTTTCTTCACCTTTGGATTTCCCGAGGCTACAGCGCGAAATTGATGCGCTACGTCTTTATTGCAGATCAAATTTTTTAACACTGAAAAATGTAATGTTATTTTCTTTACAAGGAAAGCAAGCATGATCAGATACGGTTATAGCCTGGGTGATAGTACTACACCCAGACTGACCTTGGTCAGGGACTTAGGCGTCACATTTGATGTCAAACTAACGTTTGACGGCCACTCTTGATAGAGTTTTTGCTTGGCTTCATTATGAGAGTTACGCAAACTTTTACAATTATTTATGCTACAAGAAGATTGTATTTTGCGTATGTGCATGGCGTTTTAAGCTTCTGCAGCTCTATTTGGAATCCCCAATATGAAATATGTATTACCAGAATTGAAAGGATTTAAAAGAAATTCCTAAATTATCTATGGTTTAAACACAACATCGCTTACATTGATTACGTATCAGCCTGCACCTCCTTCAACTTTTTATCGCTGCGTCAGCATCGTTCACGTGGAGATGAAGAAAAATACTTTAACATTCTATAAAATCATTAATGGCAGATACTATTGATTCTCCTAGCCTTCTTGAAGTCGTTAATTTTCATCATAACCTACAATAGAAAACGAAAGCTCTTGTCAATGTTTAGAAATTGCAGAAATTGTAAGTTATAACTTACAATAACTTATAACCAATTGTTATTTCCATAAGCTCCATTATTTTAAAAACTGCACTCAGTCCATCGTTAAAGATACTAACAGCAATATCTGTACTTAAATCCAATATTTTTTTACTGCTTGATTTGGTCTTCGGAGTGATGGACCAAACTAATGAATTAAAGCTTTCATTGCTATTTTGAGTGTTTCATTGGTGGTGGATGTTTATAATTATCTAAGACTCCTTCAGCAAAAGCTACTTGCCACGCATACCACGAATCTCCTCCAGACGGACATTTCTCATATTGAGGCTTCTCGTCTGTTGATAATTTTCTGAAATAGAGTTGCCCAAATATCATTCTTCATATCTTCTGTTGAATGAGGATTGCATCGAATTGCCAAACCATAATATTTACTTAAATCGTCAATAAGTTTACCAGTCAATTTACCCTTTCCACCAAGACCTCTTTTTGATTTTTTAACGTTACGCAATCGAGTTTCCATGCGTTTTTCCACATGATCGATGCATTCTTTTTTCTGTACAACAGTATTTTCATAAGATTGAGTATCTATAAGTCCTATATGTATTTAACATTATACAGACTACATTACATTACATAGAATACATATCGGGTAGGTGGACCAACCAACCTTGCACCGCGACCCTAAGGATCTATTGTACCCGATAGATACCGTTATCAAATTTCACCGTGCAGTCCAATGCTCTTAACGAACATTAATAGCTTGCTCGGTGAAAGGCCATTCAGATCTTTTGACGAGATAAACTTCGACCCAAAAATCGAGAATCTGATACGGTTAACGGCAGGGCAGTGGCGTAAAACATGCTCAACCGTCTCTGTTTCCTCCGCACATAGTCGGCATTCAACATCGTCGGCTAAAGCTAACAAGTTCAGGTGTGCTTTTAATCGGTAGTGCCCAGTAAAAACACCCATTAGAACTTTCATGCTACTACGGGCAAGTCCTAAAATATTCCCGGGTTTGACAGTCCAGGAGAACTGGTCCACAGTAGGCGAAGTCGCTCTTCAGCCCACAGTCCAATTCTATATTTGGCCATCGCAAATGATACACCAACTACTGGTTCCGGCCCCACAAACGCTTCAGCGCTGCCATCTCGTGCTAGCTTATCTGCCGCTTCATTGCCAGCAACCCCAGAGTGACCCGGGACCCAGATTAGAGAAACTCTGTTATCACAACTCAGTGTGTTTAATGTTCTCTTACAATCATTAACCAGAGCCAACACCGTTTTCACGGCTTGCAGCGCCTGGAGAGCGCCTTGACTGTCTGAGAAAATTCGTACTGCCATGTTCTTCACCCCTCTTTCAAGAAGGATTTTAACACCCATATCAATAACAAATACTTCCGCCTGGAATACAGTACAGTACGTACCCAGGCTGTAAGCTTGCTTAATTCGAGGTGTCTGGCAGTATACTACTGCTCCGACCCCTTCAGGCGTTTTTGATCCATCTGTGTACAAGCAAATGTCTGCCTGAACCAGAGAATTTTCATTTTCCATCCAGGACTGCCGCTCAGGCAGTACAATCTGGTATCGAGCATTAATCACTGATAGTGATACCGCCAAATCTGACGGCATTGATAGCACAGTATCAGTGCTTATAATGTCTTCCGCNCGGCGAAAGGTCATTCAGATCTTTTGAGGAGATAAACTGCGACCCAAAAATCGAGAATCTGATACGGTTAACGGCAGGGCAGTGGCATAAAACATGCTCAACCGTCTCTGTTTCCTCCGCACATAGTCGGCATTCAACATCATCGACTAAACCCAACAAGTTGAGGTGTGCTTTTAATCGGCAGTGCCCAGTAAAAACACCCATTAGAACTTTCATGCTACTACGGGCAAGTCCTAAAATATTCCCGGGTTTGACAGTGGCAATGTTAATAAACACCTTAACATGTCTCATTCCAGGAGAACTGGTTCACAGTAGGCGAAGTCGCTCTTCAGCCCACAGTCCAATTCTATATTTGGCCATCGCAAATGATACACCAACTGCTGGTTCCGGACCCACAAACGCTTCAGCGCTGCCATCTCGTGCCAGCTTATCTGCCGCTTCATTGCCAGCAACCCCAGAGTGACCCGGGACCCAGATCAGAGAGACTCTGTTATCACAACTCAGTGTGTTTAATGTTCTCTTACAATCACTAACCAGAGCCGACACCGTTTTCACGGCTTGCAGCGCCTGGAGAGCGGCTTGACTGTCTGAGAAAATTCGTACTGCCATGTTCTTCACCCCTCTTTCTAGAAGGATTTTAGCACCCATATCAATAACAAATACTTCCGCCTGGAATACAGTACGGTACGTACCCAGGCTGTAAGCTTGCTTAATTCAAGGTGTCTGGCAGTATACTCCTGCTCCGACCCCTTCAGGCGTTTTTGATCCATCTGTGTACAAGCAAATGTCTGCCTGAACCAGAGAATTTTCATTTTCCATCCAGGACTCCGCTTAGGCAATACAATCTGGTATCGAGCATTAATCACTGATAGTGATACCCCCAAATCTGACGGCATTGATAGCACAGTATCAGTGCTAATAATGTCTTCCGCAGCTCAGTAGTAGGACATGTCGGAACAGTTTTGAGCATATTGCTTAAATCTGTAAATGGTTGTTCTAGCCACTTTCTCTATATGGAAATGCAGAGGAGATAGGCTAAGTAGAACCTCCATTGCTAGAGTTGGCGTTGTGCTTATCGCACCAGAGATTGCCTACTCGTTGAATTTGTGAAAGTTTATTGATAACTGACGTCTGTCGGACTTTCCTATACCAGGCTGCTGCTCCGTATGTGATCATAGGTCTAACCATAGTCACATACACCCAGTACAGTCTTTCAGGGGTAAGACCCCAATTTTTTCCACAAAGACTGCAAATGTCCATTCCATAACAGGGTTTTGTCTAGGATTACTCCTAGATAGTTGGGTGGATTAGTCCATCCAACTTTCGTTTCCTGGTGAAGGGCACAACAATTGTCTTTTGCGGGTTTATTGAGAGGTTCTCTCCCTTACACCAAGCACAAATGGTATCTAGGGTCACTTGGATTATACAGATTAAGGGAACGTTCAAACATCTCAATTACTGAGTCTATTTCCATTTTTCCTGCAGAACCTTCATGGTTTGACTGACAAACTGTCTTATGCGTTTCAAGCCATTCCGCATACTCTGCGCCATATTTTTTCTTTTCCCAAGTTTCACGACTTTTGCAGCACTTAGATTTGACGATGATGTCGACAACTTTTCCGGTATGCCAGCCAACTAAAGAAGCTAAGCCGAAAAGCGATGTAAGTCCTCGTTTCCTCCAAGACCCATCGCCAGAGACAGTCAGTTACTAATTTCTTTCTCTTCTTTCACTGCTCCCTCCATTCTAATTTGACACACCGAGCGAGTGNCGACAACTTTTCCGGTATGCCAGCCAACTAAAGAAGCTAAGCCGAAAAGCGATGTAAGTCCTCGTTTCCTCCAAGACCCATCGCCAGAGACAGTCAGTTACTAATTTCTTTCTCTTCTTTCACTACTCCCTCCATACTAATTTGACACACCGAGCGAGTGGCGACCGAAATTGTATCCACAGCAGCTCTATAAACGGTTTGATCTATCGGTCAAGGCAGATCCATTAAGGCACAGAACTTGATCAATCCATTCATACCGATTATCAATATTTTGTATAGCATTGCTAATACTATTCGTCTATTCAGTTCATATGCATTTCTAATAAATCAATGAAAATCACACTTTTCGCATGTAACATTTATTTTTAAGCCCAAGCCTCGCATTGAGGCATGACTAAAAGTTACTCTAGAATGGCACTTATGGCACACTACAATGCTCGAGATAGCATAGAACACGGCAACAAAATTAACGAACCAGTAGCCAAATTACCATTTTTACAAATTAATATCACTTTCACCTGCACTTTTTAATTTTTTGGCAGATATCTCACTCCTTCAACAAACTGTGCTTCCGCAATATTTTGACATTTTAGTGGAATTCCAAAGAGATTTCAATTCGGGCATATCGAATTGAGATATTGTTCGCCAATATCGGTTGAGGGGTTCTCTTCTTATAATCAAAATATTATATATGTAAAATCTTATCTAATTAACTTCCTATAGGTAAATTTATTTATTAAAATTAATTTATTTTTGATTGCAGATTTTTTGATACTGATTTATCCGAAAGACATTTTATCAATTGCAACATGATAAACAACACTTTTGTATCGCTTTTATCAAGCTGCATGACCAATTTTGATTACAACATTTATTTGGAGGATTTATTTCAAGAAACCGTCTCTTGGGCAAGTCCAATGTTACTAGCTTTGTGTTTAACTGGATTTTTATTGGAAGCTACAAAACGCCCAGCGGTTTTAATCGTGATGTTTGTTTTAATATTTTTAACATCGATTGGAATATTTTTCTTAACCAATTTTACTGCTGTTCTAATCGTATGTGGGATCCTCAAAGTTTTAATGATATGTGTTCTTAATGTAATTACTGTGGTAACTATCGAGGCATTTCCATGTAATTTAAGGTAAATAATTTAATTGTTTAAGGTAAAAAATTGATTTCGTAATAAATTTTAGATGTTCAGCTCACGGAATTTTATGCAGCGTTTATCACTTTACAACATTATTCGCAATTTCACTTTACAATTATTTATCCCAGGTGTCTGTAATAGCTTCTGGTGTAACCACAATGACTTTTGCTCTCATTGGAATTCCTTTAGCTGGAAAATTACAAGATAACAGTAAGATCCTCCTTTAAAATGACAAGGAAGAGTAAGTAAAAGAAAAGATTGAAATGAGGATCGCAAGATCGTTTCGTTTAAGGACAATTAGTAATCTGTGATATTGTTTTTAAAATTATTAAGTATTAATTTTATGATGAAAACCGAGATAAAGGAATTATTCTCCTTATACCCTTTTATACTTGGCCACAATATATTGAAATATCGAATAATATAGTCGAGATTATGCAACTGAGCGTCCATATTTGTATTAAAAAAATAGTGTCTGCACAATCATGCTTCGGTACCTCTCTGTAATTTATAAGTAAATCAAAATAAGGCGGCAAAAAAATAATCATATCGCATGTGCAATAGATTTTAGATCTCTTTTTGGTTTCTATTAAAACACATACGAATTAAGTGTTTATCTTTGGCTTGTAAACATATCACGTAATTGAACATGTAGGTTCCTATCATACATGCTTTTACAAGGTATAAATGAAGTTAATGAAGGATAAATGTGATATGGATAATAAAGGTAGCAAATTTAGTATCCCTTTTTATTATGTGCATAAGCAGAGCTGGGTAAAACCATACAAAAATTAATTTTTTTGACGTGAAAGAAAGGTTTTGTAAATTATTATCTTGTTAACTCTCAAAAGATGGAAGATTAATAAGAAAATATTCTCCATCTGGATTTTCAGAAAAATTGAGCAGTTCCATTAAAATTCTTTGAATTAAGACACACACGAATATCGTTTTGATATTTGCTGAGCAAAAATTCACAAAGTATCGTTACGTCATACACTTGGAATAACTCAATACGATCATATCTAATTTATGAGATTTATAACTCATTGTACGATATCTGACACAAGCTGGACTTTAAAACATAGAGCTAATGCAAGGTAAAAATGATGATATCATACTTGATTCAACTTACAATTAGTTCAAGATACGTTAACATTTGAGTTTAATGTAAGTGCTCAAACGTATTAGGTAAAATGGACAGGTTATGATATTTGAACTAAAATTAGAACTAACACTAGAAACTTTCGGGTTTTGCCGTGCGTCTTTTAAGAAAAGGTTTGATGTTTCGGATGCCATGTTGCAACCTTCTTCAGAAACTGGTTCGAAGTGTCAGTGGTAATTTTAGTTTTAGTTCTAATTTTAGTTCAATTAACACCGACCGTGAAAGCTTTCGTACTTAGGTTACGATATATTACCTATTATCCTATATGGAAGACTAAAACCCTACTCCGAAAAGATCATAGATAATGCAGGTACTGCACGCAGAGTTAGTCAATCGACCAATTATTTGTAATACAGATTTTCGAATAGACAAATAAATTTAACATCGAAGCCCACATTTGTTCATCGATTTTGAAAGTGCCTATGACCTACAAGAAATTTTTAATGAAGACCATAAAGGTGGAGTTTAATACACCTTTGCACCTAATTCTGCTAGTAGAACAAACACTGGAGGTGGAAAATGTTGTAAGAATACAGGACGAAATAACATCAAGAATCAAAATGAAAAAAGGTTTGCGCCAGGGTGATGCACTACCATGCATACTCTTCAACATGGTACTCGAGAGGCTCACTTATCAACAATTTGCATCAAGCTCGACAGCGAGCAAATACTAACATGATAGAAGCCTACTGTGGAGATCCAACACATCAACAAGACATCTGTAAAACTTATCAATCGGGGAAGATAATCGAATCTATAAATGTATTATACTTGGGTTCAACGCTTAACAACATCGCTGGTTCCTTCAGATTCCGTCAATTTTTTTCTATTGAAACTTCTGTTTGACGTTATTCTTTTATGTTCAATCTCAGGCTTATCTCGTGTAAATAGTAGTCAGCGAGCATGTCTTGGTGGAACTTTTCACCCTGTTCTTCGCTGACTGATTTTATATGCTTGTTGAACAGGACCTTACATGTTAGTGAAGGAAGTGAAGTTTATAGTCAGGATCCTTGTTACCCAGAAATTTATTAACGACATCTTTGAAGGCAACCCAAGCTTCTTTTTTCGTTAGTATCGTGCTAGTCTCAAATACCTACATAATAATATCTGGGCCAGTAAAGATTCCCTCTTGCAACTTTCCATCGAATAAATAAAACTTTTTGCATAGGTATCTGAAAAAATCGCCATCTTTCGTAACAAACTACTTCATTACACCCAATTGATATGCAGAGGAAATGTTAAAGTATTGTTACTCATACTTTTTGGGTTAATTAAGCTTTTCCGAATCACATTCATGGTGCCAAGTTGAAAATTTTGTGTTTTCAGCTATTTTTTTTGAACCAATGTTGAATCTTAGCATGCTAGCTATGGCTTGCTACTTACAGATAAAACATGGGTACTTTGTGTATTCGTCTTGTTGACCAAGAACTATGGAGATAAGTTGTAAAACGCAGCAAAAAAATGTACCGTGATAAAAATTGTTCCTTATTGTTTTTAAATCAGCAAAAAGTACATAAAGTTTAATTATCAATTCCTTTGTGTTTTTTCATCGTAGGCCTGTGCAATCATTTCAAAGCAATTGTGATGCAAATGTAAGATATTCCAAAGTATAGTTGTCCTAAAATCTTTCAATCAGTATGCAGAAAATACAGGAAATTCACTGCTTGGCATAAAATGATACAAAATAAAGAAATGCAACATGTGGTTCCGGATCCAAAGACTTGTTAAGTAAAGATAACCTTCGATTTGTCAATCTTAAGTGCCAGAATCCATCTCTTTGGAAGTACTTTACATTTAGCATTTATGTGGGGGTTTTATTTAAATAAAGACCAAAAGCCCCACCTTTTTTAAACTAGTTTATTATTACAAATTAAGATGTTCATCTCAACTTGTCTTTAAACAATTTACTTGAAGACCTTCACCACAATGTGTCTTCTCTCTGCCTCTTCTGTGCGTTCTGTCTTCTAACTGTGCGTGTCGTATTCTAACTTCTAACCACTTCTAACCGAATCTTCTTCTCGACTTTTATCGATCGAGCCAAGCCGAGCCCTTGACCGAGTAGACCTGAAGGGTTTCGCATCTTCTAGAATCTTTCCTCCGTTTATAGCCATTAAAGAAATATATTTAACGATAAAAATGAGATTAATAGTTAGCGTACCCAAATCATCAATGCCAAGAAATACATACCGGCTGAAGATTTTTTGCTGGCCGAAAATTAATGGCAAATATAACGATTGTTGTTTATGAACTCATATGTATATCAGAAGAAAGTAATCGGATGAATATAGTATTAATACAGAAAAATTTAATGTGTTGTAACCCATATGGCAATAACAAGTGCCATCTTGAAAAAAGTGTAGAAGAATTATAAAACTTGCGTGAATTGGTAGAATTAATTCCAGATGATAATTTCCAGATGAATAGAACAAATCAAGTGTGAGCTTGCAGAAGAAGAATGTTGGAATAACGTTAATTTACTTGGTATTTGTGCTGGGAAAAGTGCTTGATAGAGTACTGGTGAACAGGTTCCGGAGTTTGCGAAAGTCAAACGATAAGTTCATGAGAATAAGAATGATTTCACAATAGAATTCGATACAATGTTGATGCTGGATGCTAGGGTGAGGCGTATGGTGAAATGTAAGACGAATGGATGACACTGAATGCTTGTCAGCATTTAGATACTAATATTTGAATGCGAATATTTGTTTAATTTACATAATAGACGGTTTTTAAAGCAGCGGCGCATGGAGTATTAGTGAAGAACCTTAGAAACAAGAACATGGGCTACCCACTTACACTGCGTGAGACTTAATAATCATTGCGATATAGAACGTTGGAGACTTTCTTGTGGACTAAATGAAGTGGTGAAGATGTAGAGGATGAAGATGGCTTACAAATGCCTTGGGTCAAAAACAAAATGTATTAATTAACAGCTATATGTATACTGTTTCTTTATATTAAATTAGCTTTGCTTAAATAATCGTGTAAGAAAAATGCATGTGTAATATAAAAATACTTTTGACTAAATGGGGCAGTTACCCTCAATCGAATAGAAAGACCGTTTTTAAAAAAATTGATAAATAGAAGGATTGGTAACATTTTCAGATCCTAAAATTGTTTAATTTTTTTTTTAAATTTTTGCAATAATTAATATTAAAATGCAAAACCCCCTCTATAAAAGCTTTGGTGACGTTTAAGAGGTTTTCACGTAAAATCAAGAAGACACAAACGTGCATCGCTCGGATCTCTTCTTCTAGCGCATAAGATTCTCGTGGCATCTCGCTCATGCACCTTTTATTGATTTTTATTTCAACCAACCGCGTGCGAAACGACGGTGACGTCACAAAAGTTGTTTCAAATTTTCATTATTCTTTTTTTGGAAAATCTAAAGATTTGTTTGAAAAATAAAAAATTATAGAAGTCTTTAGTTTTGCTAAACTTTCGAATAAGCCAATAAAAAAAAAGTGTAACGGCCCAATTAAAGGACCTGAAGGAACAAAAGTTTTACTGAGCAAATTTTATTAAGAAATAAGCACGAATTCTACTTTAAATGTAATCGCTCCTTATATACCAACGCAACCAAAATTGATTTTAAAGCAAAGGAGGTGCAAATGATATCTTCTAACCTAATCAAATGGTTATTTTATGACTCAACATCGTAAATTTTGTTGGAATTATAGTCAGATTGTCTACATTAGATGTAACTTACAAGGTTTAATTCGCAAACCTTATTAATTCTCTCCTGTGACACTGGAGGGAATGAGTTAGTAATTTCAAATGAGTTATGAATTGCAAAATGATACACAAATGCCACTTAATGACTCTCAAATAGCTTATATAAAAATGGTGAGAATAGTTCGAAGGTCACAAAAGATTGAAGATTTAAATTTTTAACACATATTTTAAGTATTTCATTTTCTTTTACCCAGTTCTGCTTATAATACAACGTTAAGACAAGTTTTTATTAAATTATACCCTTAGATTGTTCTATTAATGATTATAATTATAGTCTCAATTTTAAAAAATCCAAATTGTGATTTATAAACGTCAAATCGATATAGCATATCATTAATATCCGTCGTCCATAAAACTAAAAGTCAATCAAGATTTCAATAAACATAAAAAACAATACTATATGTTACCTATCTTTGTACAGTTAACTCATCAAAATGTTGTTGTTTATTTGTTGTGAATGTTTAATAAATTTTGCTTCATGGAAATTTACTTTTATTTTTATTACTGTCATGTTTAAAACATAAATTAAAAAAAGTATATTAATTATTACTAAAACATATACATATTTATTATTTTGCAATATATACAATATTATTTTACAAAGTATTTTATTTAGAGATATCCTAAGATGGAAAAAAATAAAATCCTAATAACGTGCCTTAAAAACTAACGTAGTTTCTTTCGTCTATTTCCACCTGAAATCTTCACAGTCTCGACGTTGCGACATATACAAAGAATATAATTAAATTTCTCCTTCATCAAAGTCTCTTCAATACCTGTATACGCGACGTGATATTTTTGATCCGAATATATATATATTTATTGATACGTTATTTTCGTTAAAACTGGTGATTTTTACGAAAATTACTATTTAACGAGTTAAATTATTCTTTTTCTCGGTTGTTAAAAATGAACAACAATCGATAAAAAAGATAAAAATAAATTAAATTAACAAATTGTACAACGGTTGAAATGTAAGAGTGTTAAAATTACTTTTTTAAAAATAACTTTTTTAAAGATTTCTTTTTACCCATCACATCTAACTTTAAAAAAATATAATTATAAATTAATTCTCTACGTTTCGTGGCGATCGAGATAACTATTTACTATCCATTTACTCCTTTAGCTATACCGCACCCGAACTTGTTAACGTTTCTTGTACGGATTGCGGCAGCTGATGTCTTTTGAGATTTGTACTAATTTGTCTACTACCCAAATTTGTTGCTTGATTTGACCAATCACCAGTTGGAACTATCGTTCTGTAGAATTTTGATGTGGTTTTATTGAAAATCGGTAGCAATTCATTAGCTTCATTGGAAAGTGCCTAAGAAATCATTAATTAAAACTCGAAGGACTTAACAAAAAATGGGGGAAGCGGGTAATTTTTTACCTTCATATATATCACAGCGTCTGTACCATAACCTTCGCAAGATAACAAAATAAGATCGCCATGAAAATATCTTGCGTAAAGTCGTGAAATTGGTAATCCATAACCGTAACCAGCTAATGGAACTGTGTGAGCATCGGATTTACTAGGTTGTGGTGCTGTTGAGTACATATATTTGAAGATGTGATCGGTTGTTGATCTAGGAATACCACCTCCTTTATCTGACATCTACAAAGTTTTATTTTTTTTTAATAATAATTTCTTAGACACCTAAAAATATTTTCTAAGCATTTTAATTTCATGGAATTAATTTAAAACGGAATTAGGGTCGAATAGGAGAAATTTAATAGTGTAAAATCATAAAAACGCGTTAAAGAACGCTAAATAGAGAAAAGATTTCAATTGTTGTTAAATAGTTTAATTATTACGGGCATTATAATTATTTAATTACCTACCTTTAAACAAATGTCCTCTTTTCCTTTCGCAACCGTCACAGTTATTGGTGGATACTGATCGGAGGACGCGTGATATTCCATGACCGCTCTCATGGAGTTTTTAAACAGCTCGAAGAGCATGTGGTACATATGAGATGGTACGTAAACGATTTTGATGCCACGTTCCTGTTCGACTTCTAAAAAAGAATAAAGGTTATTAATAATAATAATTAAAGTTTAAATTTATACAAAGTATTTTGATAAATGAGATTTTAACCTTAATTAATTGTTCGTTGAACTATTAAATAAAAATTGGCTTACCGTTGTGTTGAGACTCTTCAAGGATAAGGTCAGGACTGGCGAGGTAATATTGATCACAAAGGAACCTGGCATTTTCGTACGCATCCTTAATTACACTAACAATATCACAATGTGGGTCTATACATCCTATGTATTTACTCCTGTTGGGACCTGGTGCATTTTCAAGTTGTCCACCGAATAATAAAGCTGAAAATAAAAATTTATTTGTCAAATTTAGCAATAAGACGTTCGAAATTTAATAATAATAATAATAATAATAATAATAATAATATGACTTTATTTGTCCCATTATTGTATATATATATAAAATTATTATAAATTAAGCCAGGACAAATTAGGCGGAGTTCAGGTGCAGCCGTAACAGCACCTGCTCTTCCACTCAAACCTAATAAAACTAATTCTATATATACAAGAGAGAAAAAGTAAAGAAAAACGAAAAGAAATAAGAAAAGAAAAAGACTCGATGGCGAAATCATAATTAATTACTAAGCGTAAACTGCCCGATCCCTGTCGCCCTACAATGCATTCTGAATTTGAGACAAACGGCCCTTCATTCTATGACGAAACAACCTTGAAGAAGTGCTACATTTTATAGTTGATGGCAAATCATTAAGAATATGTGTTATTTGGTATGAAAAGCATTTCTTAAATAGCTGGTGATGATGTATCGGTGGGGTAAGAGTGCCCTTGAATCGAATATTCAATGTATGAACATCGGTACGAAATTTTATTTTATTGAACAAGTATGGAGGTTTCTTCAAAGTAATTATATTAAAGAACAAAACCGCCGAATGAAGTATGCGCCTATTTTTCCTGTTGAGCCAACTCAAATCCTTTAATTAGTGCGAAACATGCTGACGCCCCCGTAACCCAAATATCAAGCGCAAGCAAGAATTTTGAATTTTCTGAATTTTTTTCGTATTACTATACGAAATACACGGATCATACAATGTATCACAATAATTAAAATGCACTAACACCAAGGCCTCGCACAAAAGCACCCTTGTTCTACGATTGAGGAACGACCGACCGCCATAAAGCAGCTTAAGAGCAGCATACGCGGAAGCAGTGCACTTATTGATGTGTTTATCAAAGCTAAAATTTTCGTCCAATAAGACACCCAAGTTTTTCACACAATCTTTCAGCGGCAATACTTGATTGTTGACAACTATCTTGACCCGATCCCGAACAGAATTGTCACTTATCACCTTTCTTAGCCCAAACAAAATCAGCTCTGTTTTAGCAGCATTAAGACAAAGGCAGTGACGCCTAGAAACCAGCTCCAAAGCCTCTATATCCGAAGTCAGACCTAAGCAAGCATCATCGACATCCGATGGCAGAAAAGATATATATAACTGGGTGTCATCCGCGTAGAAATGATAATTACAACTTTTTATGTATCTGTTAAAATGCGATGTGTAAAGTGAGTATAGCAGTGGACCCAAAATTGAACCCTGAGGAACACCGGACGTTGTCGAAAGAAACGATGAAACGCAACCATTCACCTTCACGCACTGCATTCTGCCCGTCAAGTAACTGTGCAAGAACCCCGACGCAAGATCATCAAACCCAATGTAGCGAAGCATGACATACATCAAGTCATGATTGATAGTATCAAAAGCCTTTGAATAATCTAAGAGACACATCAAAGTCAATTTTCCTTGGTCTGTGCTTCGTATGACATCGTCCACAATATTCGATAGAGCTGTATTGCAGCCATAATGCTTTCTAAAACCTGACTGTGTAGGCGGTAAAAGGTTGTATTCCGTAACATAGTCCTTTAATTGAGATTCGATTACTCTTTCTGTAATTTTTGCCAATATCGGTAAAATGCTAATACGATTTGGTGCTAAAACGAATTGAAGTTACTGTTTTGTTGATAATAAATGATAGTGCGTTTAAAAAACAAGTTATTGCTTAATTGTAAGGCGTAACATTTTTATCAATTATTTGATTTTTTATAAAATCATTTCGTAGGACCCAGTTTATAGGTCTTATTATATCTAATGGCGATATTACACGGTTCAACCAAATTGATTCACTTTGGTTGAAAGGCGCAGAAATGAAAGATATGATGTTTATACGTATCCACCAAAATGAACTATTCAACTCACTTTGCGCGGCAGATGTCGTCGAATCAGGTCGTACGGTTGGGAATAATCTTAATTTGTGATCATTAATTAAAGAGTTGGTGGGTACGACCATGGATATTAAGAAGACAGACCTTGGGAGCTTCAAACTGTCTATTGACAGAACTGGCAGAAGAGGATCCAGGTTCATATAATCTTCGAATGAATAAAACAGAATTTGAAAAACTTCTAAAAATGGTTACTCCGTTAATCCAGAAAGAAAGTACTGTGATGAGAGATGCTTTACTAACACGAATAAAATTGCAAATCGTCCTCAAACATCTTGCTACTGGTGATTGTTTTGGATCATTGGAACAATAAAATTATACAGAGTACTCCGATGCACAATTTGTTCTTTTATCCTAGAAGTATGTGAAGCTATCTGGATAGCAGCACGAGATTACATCAAGGTAATCAATGACATAAATAAAACAATCAAATTTATATTTGTTATCTTTTATTTTTATTTTATTTCTTATTAATATTGTACCTACATAATCTACAGGATGCATTTTATAGCTGATTGCAGTACCTGCGACGTATTATTTTCATTATATTGGTCAAACTGTTGTGTAGGTGTTTGAGTAGTGATAAGTCGGCGAATTTTGAGTTAATGTTTCAAATTGTTCTTCAATAATATAGTCTGCTGAGTTCACGGATCAAGATGTTTGAGATGATGAACATATTGAATTTGCAAATTGAATATTTGTATCTACAAAATCATATGTAGACTGTGAATTTAATGGGGAACTTGTAGTGGAGAAGCTTGCAATGGACTGCAGTCGTTCCTGAACCATTTAGTAGTTTTTGTTGGCAGATTAAGGTCCGATGTAAGAGGAGTATTCTTTAACTGCAAGGAACATGTACTGAATCATTCAATACATGTGTTTACACGTTCAATTCTCTTTCATTTGCGTTGAATGATGAACCGCAATTCACTCCAAAAGTGAAAATATTAAACTAGCCTAATTCTTTCAACGCAATTTTCACAGATTTATCAAAAATACCTTCAAAGAGCTCGGCCCCAGAAGTGATATTGAGGTATTATTGAGAGGATAATAATGAATAATACTGTTTTGTTGATAATAAATGATAGTGCGTTTAAAAAACATGTTATTGCTAAATTGTATGGCGTAACATTTTTATCAATTATTTGATTTTTTATAAAATCATTTCGTAGTACCCACTTATAGGTTTTATTATATCTAATGTTCTTATTGAATATTAAACTATTCAATCACAGAAATTTTCACAGATTTATCAAAAATACCTTCAAAGAGCTCAGCCTTCAGAAGTGATATTGAGGTATTACTGGGAGGATATTCAGCTGTACCAAGCACGATATAAAGAGGTGCCTACGACGATGTTGAGTGGTGTACAACCCAACCCTCAGTGTCATTGAGAATTGTCTAAACTGATGTTAACTGACGGTACAGTTAGGTAATGTTAAAAGGCACAAGGTATCAAGGGATATTCAGGACGATGCTACAATGTACCAGATGCCAACCGATATCAAACTAGACACTGAGGGGTGTTCGAGATAATATTGCTGCCATAAATTATGTTAATGGAAGTATCGGGCAATGTCAACGAGTGGCAGGAATGATATTGAAGGTTGTCCAGGACGATATTTCGTGCGCCGTAAGAACGGTACTGAGGGATAATCGTGGCGATGCTGATATCGCATCTAAATTAAATTAAGAGATAGATAGTAGAAGGGATAGAGAGAGATAGTGATGGTATCGAAGGATGTCCGGGAGTATACTGAGGGGTCCCAGAGGTGATTTCAAGGGATTGTTATGCCAAGCACGATATAAAGAAATACCTGCGACGATGATGTTAAGGATATAGTTAGGTTGAGTTGAGTTAGGAAATATTAAAAGGTATCAGACACTATATCAAAGGATATTCAGGACAATGCGTGTAACAGCGATGATGTTGATGGTATATCGAAATAGACATGAGGGGTAATATTAATAATAATATTAAGCGTTGTCATAGATAATGTTGTTGGATATATTGGGCAATGCCCTTACTGGAACGATATTCAGCTGTTAGGCGCAATTCAAAGTGAAATAATAATAATAATAATAATATGACTTTATTGTATCCCATATAGATACTTATAGACTGAGGGGCCTTATAATGTGAATATAATTTAAGTTAGAGAAATCAATATATCAAGACTATATTGCACCATAATGGCAAAACAAAAATTGACAGAAATTTATTTTATAGCATTATAAAATTCAAGAGAACTACATTAAGCCACAAATAAATTGTTTCGAGAATATTGTAATAGATATCGTGTTGTTGCAATCATTTCTGTACGTAGAAAGGTAAGCCACATCACCATGGCATCGACTTCTTAAGCGAGCTCTGTTTTAAAAGTTATTTCAAGTAAAAAACAATAATTTACGACTTTGTGCCAAATGACGATGATTATTTGTAGGAACTCAATCAGGTAGGAATTTTTGTTCAAATTTTCTTGTATAAATTTATGCAAAAGCATGACATGTCATGTGGCTTACCATATTATAGGTAGAATTTGTATGAAAATTACTTAGTAGTCCAATAGAGACGTATTTTTTTGTTCAAGGATGAATTTGTTGAAGGAATAAATCATACAAAAAGAAACAGAATAGCAATGCTTCCAGACGAGTATTTACTGCCGAGTATGTTGCATGAGACCAAATTATACTGCGCTTACTTGTTACCTGATATGAGTAGTAATAACAAAAATAAACCCAGTAAACTGTAAGAGTAATAAATACATTCAATAAAAGTTCATAGCGAATCCATACCAAAATACTAAAGTTATTACAGCAGAAGCATCTGAATTGCGATACAACTATTTCTACATTATTTGCAGATTTTTATGTGCCCTTGTGTAGAGAACAAAACCACTCCAGTTAACGAATGCGCTTACAGAAACATGATGTTTAGTTCTCTTCAATCTTCCAGGATACAACGTTATGTATAAATGTCGCAGCAGTCTTTTTTCATCCTTCGCTGCGAAATCTTCTTGGATTCCTTCGCAGATCTAGGTATTTGATT